GTTATCATGGTTTTAGTGTCAGAGCTCAGTGGTTGCAGCTTGTGTTATCATGGTTTTAGTGTCAGAGCTCAGTGGTTGCAGCTGGTGTTATCATGGCTTTGGTGTCAGAGCTCAGTGGTTGCAGCTGGTGTTATCATTGTTTTAGTGTCAGAGCTCAGAGGTTCCAGCAAGTGGTATGGTGTCACAGCAGCTTTGTGTGCAGCTAGTGTTATAGTGCCACAGCTGTTTGTGCAGCTTGTGTTATAGTGTCACAGCTGTGTGCAGATAGTGTTATAGTATCAGAGCTGTGTGTGCAGCTAGTGTTATAGTGTCACAGGTGTGTGTGCAGCTAGTGTTATAGTGTCACAGCTGTGTGCAGATAGTGTTATAGTATCAGAGCTGTGTGAGCAGCTAGTGTTAAGTGCCACAGCTGTGTGTGCAGCTAGTGTCATAGTGTTACAGCTGTGCCAAGTCACCAAGCCTGACCATCCGATCCATTTGGTCGTCGCTTACAACAAGCACTGGTTGCTTGGCACCAACTCTAACCTGGAATCCCCACAGAGGTGAGACATTTCAATATTTGTTTGATAACTTCATCATGTTTTGGCTGTGTTGTGTACTTGTGATGTCATGAGATGCACTACATGTCGGCCGCGCACTGTGACATTCTGGTCTTTCGGAGTGCAATGAGTACAGGGTTTTCTATTTTAGAAAAGCGTGGGATAGGTCTGCTTCTGTAATGCAAACACTTTACTAATTGACATTACATTTATACAGTTGAATTGAGTAATATAATAAGTGTGATTGAAGTGTTTAGTGTCTCTTAGCACCAACAGTCAAAACAATAGCATCACCATTGTCTGTCACAAAATATATAGACATATACAAGTTCATGCATGTAATACATACAAATTGCAAGCTTTTCATTCACAGTTCAGCAATGTTCAGCAGGATTATTTTAGAATAAAAAATGTATTCAATTATTTTCTTCTTTATATATACACCATGATATACATGTCAATTTATCTTTCATGTTTAAGGTGTAACTTAGTGAGGGATCTAGTCTATAGTGAATATACTGATAGTAGTGCTTGTATAATCTGGTATTCTGCTTTTGATTTGGCAAATATTAGATTCTGATTGGTCCTGATAAGCTACGCATCCCTCTAAGTTTGTTTTTTTGTTAGGCAGCCAGGTAGCTCCTAAGATGAATATTTTAGGAGCCAAAGCAAAGTTTTTAGTCGCAAACAGTTATCTTAAACAGATATTGTTGCCAGTTATGTTTACTTTTAGGTATTCAAGTGGCGAGCAGTAGATAAATTTAGTTTGCCGATCATAGAGTCAAGTCTTATTTGGCTACCAAAATGGTCGCTACTTAGAGGGCTGCTATGTATATGCGTGGAATATGCAAAATAAATCACTATTACACGATTAATTTTGAGTCACTTGTGTACAAACATGCATGTAATTGTCCTGACAGTAATCTGCAGTGTTTGAATCATACTGAGGGGGATTATCCCTGTTACCAAATGAGTTCAACTCGCTTAGCATCAGGTATTTGATTAGTGTTATCTGGATTTATATATACTACCTGACTCTGACTCTGTTTCACCTGGATTAAGTTATTGAGGTGTGGATGAGTATTCAGGCAATTAAGTATTGCCATCACTGCTGTGTGCACGCCAGATGTGAGGATGGATGTGCTGGCTGGATGAGGTAAAGAGTATTGTGATGCTGGGGACCAGTAAAACATGTCCAGCTGTCGGATGTGACGGATGTGAGAATGGATGCTCTGAAGTTGCTTAACAAGGCTTCCACTATGAATTGTCTGGATCACAGTGCAGCCACTGTCACACACGTGATGTCTGTTGTGTAAATAGAGACTTGTTCACATATGTTGGACAACTCCACATTTAGAAGTGCAGTTCCTTTTTAGTGAGGATGACAGCACTGCTGTTTGTCCTTAACTTGTTTAATGTCTGGCTAGTGTCTGGCTGTGTCTGGCTAGTGTATCAGACTGCCTCCGTGGCCTAGTGGTAGAGTGTCCGCCCGGAGAGCGGAAGGTCCGGGGTTTGATCCCTGGCCGCGTCATACCAAAAGACGTTAAAAGATGGTACTTGTTGTTACCCTGTCTGGCGCTCAGCATTAAGGGGCTAAAACAAGAACTGGTCAGCTCGGATTCAGTATACTGTGTCTGAGTAGGGTATTCATGTTAAACTGCGGCATGGTATCTCAGTGAGCTAACACGATAAATCGGCATCAGTCCGGACTAGTACAAGCAGCCACACATAGCCATAATCTTGGACGTGATGTTAAACCCCATCTCATCTGTAAGTGTTTTAAGTGCAGAAAAAGTTGTTTTTTTTTCTGATGCTTCAGTTTGCTCTTGTGGCGACCAAAATAAAGATGCCATGCATTATTAGTATTTTTGTGCCAGATGTTGGAAGCAGCACATCCTTCTGTCATGTCTGTCCCAAATGTTTCAACTTTACAAACTTGTTTTATGGAAATGAGCATGAAACAAAAGATACAAGTGTGACTAGTTTACGCCCAGTTCACAAACTTATCATGCTTATGTCATGTATGTCTCTGTCTAAAATAGTTTTAGCTAACTTGTTTATTATCTTTAACATATCATTGTAACTTTCCAAGCTTCTTGAAATATGAGATTGATCTCAAATGTTGTACAATAATGTTTAGGCAACTGTATGCTGTACTTGTACACTGTATGCTGTATACTGTATGCTGTACTCTGTATGCTGTACCCTGTATGCTGTACTCTGTATCCTGTATGCTGTACTCTGTATGCTGTACACTGTATCCTGTACTCTGTATGCTGTAGTCTGTATGCTGTACTCTGTATGCTGTAGTATGTAGTCTGTATGCTGTACTCTGTATGCTGTACTCTGTATGCTGTACTCTGTATGCTGTACACTGTATCTTGTACTCTGTATGCTGTACCCTGTACTCTGTATGCTGTACTCTGTATGCTGTACTCTGTATGCTGTACACTGTATGCTGTACTCTGTATGCTGTACTCTGTATCTTGTACTCTGTATGCTGTACTCTGTATGCTGTACCCTGTATGCTGTACTCTGTATGCTGTACTCTGTATGCTGTACACTGTATGCTGTACCCTGTATGCTGTACTCTGTATGCTGTACTCTGTATGCTGTATACTGTACTCTGTATCCTGTACTCCGTATGCTGTACACTGTATGCTATACACTGTATGCTGTAATCTGTATGCTGTACTATGTATGCTGTAATCTGTATGGTTAACCTGAATAAATCATGTAAATTTACTTTGGACAGGCACTTATATAAACTAGTATTGGCTTGTCTGTCAATCCAGGTTTGGCAAAAATGTCATGTCTAGCCCCTTGACCCAATAACTGACATCACCCTTGCCATATTCTGGATGATAGCCTGAATACGTATTGATGAATTTTGAACAAATTTGGTTTATGTCTAGACCCTTATGAAAGACAGGTCAGTTTGATAGCCTGTTCAATCAATCAATGTAAGGAATGAAAACATTATTGATAACAGCAGCTCCTGTTCTCCTTTATGACTTGACAGTAAAATAACCTGGAAGATTCTACCTTTTCTTTGTTATAAATGTATGTTGCTGAGTGTGATGTAACAAGAGTACAGCCTATTGCATTGTAACATTTAGATTGTTCCAAATTAATGATCTAGAAACTGATAGCTCTGACAGTTTGTAGGAATCTATAGTTTGTGCACGAGAGACATTTCATCTGCTTGAATGATTTTGTTTTGTGCTTGTTTCATAATCAATGTGTGATTTAAAAAGGAAATGTATTATTGATATTTTGTTGTGTTGAGATGCATGCACCTATTAAAGATCAAGATAATGTTTGATTAAGCATCATCTATTCAGTAGACCTATTTTGTTTCATAAGAAGAATGAGCAAGGATGAGGATCCTCTTTGGCTCACTGAAAATGTAAAACAAATGTACGTTATATGGATTATATGGGTAGGAAATTATTTATCACAGGCTCAAATATATAGAGATTGCTGTGCTCTCCGGATTCAGAGATCTGAAGACCACACAGATATAATATTAATTTTGATAACCATTTTGTAATGAATTCGCTTTTAAAGGACATTCATAGGTGATTTACTATCTGGTGGTACATGATCCTGTGCCTAGTGTACATCTTTAACGACTTACAATTCAGATGAAGTTAAGCAACGTCGGTCCCAGAAGTTTTGTTTCTTTCTTATTTAACACTGCACTATGCAATATTCCAGCTCTGTGATGGCGGTCTGTAAATAATCAAGTCTGGACCAGACAATCAAGTGATTGACATCATGAGCATTGATCCACACAATTGGGATCGATGACATGCATCAACCAAGCCAGCAGCCTTGACCACTCAATCCCGTTAGTCGCCTCTTACGACAAGCATAGTCACCTTTTACCTTTTTGTTGAAGACTTATTCTACCCCAGATCTTTACCAGTCGATCCTGGAAGTAGTGAATAATTACGTTTCACAGCATATATAGCATTTGTGGTGATTCCTTTGGCTAGTGATTTTGTACGAAATATGCCTTGGTTCACCAAGCAGCAAATGGGTACCAGGTAGGTTGAGATGGTAATGTGACCTCTCAACCTTCTAGCCTGACATGACAGTAACAAACGTAAGGTAAACTGTGTCCATAAAAGATTATCATCTATTCTTTTTTTATTTATGGTTAATAACTTTTGTACTTCGAATTACGTGGTAGGCAATTTTTCCATGTGAAGCCAAGCTGTGAAGATCTGTAAAGTACCATGTTTTTCATTAAACATTGCAGTATGAGTTGTTGTTTAATTGTTTATGTATATACTGTAAATCGTGAAATGAATGCGTCCCAAAAGAATGCCCCTAGCCAAAAATGCGACTCAATATGAATGAGACGTCCCCCCTCCTATCAAGAATCAGTGGATTTATATATAAAGAAAATGTCTTCAGTCAGGTTTACAGGAGAATCCTCACCTTAATCCAACCTGGGCCCGAGGTTATAAAAAAAATTTCGTGCTCAACTCAGTTTCGTGCTCAAATACATGCTCATGCTCAAGTTCGTACTCAGTTGAGATTTGTACTCAAGCAGAGGTTATAAAACATCTTGAGTCTGTACTCAGCTGAGAACAACTCACGCTCAGCTTGAGCATGCTCAAAGGAATCTTTGTTTATGATATAAGCGGCAATTTGGAACTCTTCCGTCAAGAATGGTAAGAAAACAACCCGGATGTTGTCGTCTGCTTATTTACAATGGCAACGGAGGGCGTGACCGAATCGAGAAGGCGGGGTAAGGGGTGGTCAGAAGCGGAGGAGGTTTGTCTCATACAGGAAGTCGTTCAGCGAGAGCAACTGTTGTTCGGCGAAATAAAGGGAAGCGGTGTGAAGTCCATCCATCGACAGCGGACCGATGGATGGCAAAGCATCACGGATATCCTCAACACGTAAGTTGTTCATATGTTATTGTTGTTTAATATCATTTCCAGCATGGTACGCTATATCATCGCGGTAGTTAAGTTATAAATACGTCTTGCGCAAAGTGTTCATTCAACTTTTATGACACAGGATTGATCGATGCTGATTTTTTTAATGTGTTCGGTAAAACAAAGTATACCTGTCATAAGCGAGTAAAAAAGTAAGGGGGGGGGGGGGGGGGGGGGCTGTGTCTAGGGTCAAGGTCAAGGGACATCCTCCAAACAGTTTTAGTGGATTCTTTTCAAACCAATTTCGAGTGGAGGTTGGGGTAATTAAGTTATAAAGTTCTCAGGCGAAGGCGTGACATATCGCAACGAGTCCTGTATTCGATCATGCGTTGAAATGTGGTGCCCATGCAGATTTGCATAAGTAAACAGTCGAAAATGTGATTCTTCGTTGCATTAACTTTATTGTATATACTGGTAATCTAAATGGAGACATGTATTTTCATGGGCTTTCCCCTCCACAATTCCCTGACTGTGAAGAAGAAAACATGTTCTGTATATTAATTTTCAAATTATATCTCTTCTTTTATATACTTTCAGAAGACACATCAATGCCAAAAGGGAGGCTATTGAAGTGAAGAAGAAGTACTTCAATTTGAAACAAAGAGGTACTCTTTTATATTAGAAAAATACTAAGAGGCATATTGTGTCAACATTGTTACTCCATCATAATGTATTAAATGGTTATTATATTATTGATGAAACACATGTTTATCCCTCAATAACACATGAACACATGTCAATGAAACCCAAATTTAATATTTCAATATATATGTTATTGTTACTGAACTAAACTGCAAGTTTGTATTGTAGCTAAAAGCAAGATCGACGGCCTCAAAAGGTCAATGGCCACAACTGGAGGAGGGCCTCCACTCCCAGCACTGTCCAACGCGGACGAGGTCCTCTGTCAGTCTTTGGAGGGGAGGCCAGGTATTCATGGCCTAGAACATGGCATTGACACTGATGGTATGGGCAGTTCAATATGTAAAAGATTAATGTAACTTTTAAAGCCAACTATTTCTCATTAATGTTGGTTATGGTGAGACCTATCACCTGGGACAATGTATTTGGATGACAAAAATACTTATCAAATATAGTACAAACAAATCAAGTACTGTCAAAAGACAAAGGAAACAACAACAAAAATTTCAGACAACAACTTTTTTATGCCTGTGATCAAAGTAATGAATACATTTGTTGTGAATTGCACTTGTACAAAATCATTCAAATAATGATTAATATTTGTCAGATAATCAAATTAATCACTCATCACAATTTCAGTCACAAATGCAATTGTTTTTGTCAATTCTAACCCGAAAATTATTAAAATAGCTGCATTACTGTATTTTAATATTCTGTTCACTTCAGTCATTCATGATGGCGATGTAGCTGCCGCTGCACCAGAAGGTAATACATATCATCATATGTCTGAATACTATTAACATGTATTATTATACATAATCACATCTATAACATGGGACATATATCTAATTACTCTCAGTCTGTGGGTTGTCTCCCTTATATAGGTCATGTCTTGAACATAATACCAAAATTTCCAACATGTATTGTAGAGCATAGTTTGCTATTCCTGTCATAACATTATTGTCTGAGCTGACACATGGTATACAATCAATGTAATTATTCTCAATTAATAACATTAAAGTATAACTTTATTTTGTGACTTTATTGAATGCTTAAATATATAAATGTCAGAAAATGATACAATAATTTTTTGCATTTGTTCAATGTTAAAAATTGTATCCCCTTATTTACAGGTCTGCAAGGTGAAGCACATCACATTGATGAGCAAGACATCCCAGCAGAAGGTACATCAGAAGGATCTGAGTAATATCTGTAGAACATATTACTATACTAAATAATGAACATTTTCAGAGTTTATTTCAGTATATTCAAGATTGCAGTTACAGATCAAATTTATGTTTGCATAATCCTTCTATAATACTAGTATAATACTAGTATAATACTACTACTAATAAACTATGACCTTTGTATGATTTATTGAAAGCATAGAAATGAAAACACTCATAGCAAGATGCTAATACATGTATTACCCCAAACAATACATTCACTGTCTTGTCAAAAGCTGAAAATACTAAGAGACAGGAAATATATTCGAATTATATTTATGTCACACTAACACCCATAATGCTATCAACAATACTATACTCCCAAAGATGACGCAGAGTACACAAGTCAGTCTCATTATATTTACAGACAAAAAGACCGGGCGCAAACGAAAAAGAACACAAGCTGAGGCAACATATGACAACACGATACAGGACACGGAAAGGATCAAACTTGAACAGAGGAAGCTGAAACTGGAAATTGAAGTGTTAGAAAAAAATCAAAAGAAATTAGACATTGAAATTCAAATGCTGCAGAGGAAATCAGTCTACTACCAACTAAAAATGAATGCGGAATTTGGTGTTTCTCTTGTCGAATCATGTCCAACTGAAGAATAATTATTATCAAAATTACTAAAGAGAGTTATGTAGAAATGCTAACTCTTTATCTTGTTCAAATTTAGAAATTAAGAAACAAATATGAATTGAATTGCTCTGTCACAATGTGCAATGTTAGAAATTTGAACTAGTCCTGCAGTTCGTGCCAAAGTGTCCACTTGTCAATGTATGAAAGAACTTGTAGACATATGCCATTTTTCAGGTTTCTGCTATATGTTATCATTGTAAGGACTTGTTGACTAAAAATGGTAGTTTCTACCGTAGTATGTGCTTTATATTATAACATTTTCCCACTTTACTTGCCGTAAAAGGCGGCAAACGGGATCGGGTGGTCAGGCTCACTGACTTGGTTGATACATGTCATCGATCCCAATTGCGTGGATCGATGCTCATGATATCAATCACTGGATTGTCTGGTCCAGACACAATTACTGTACAGTCCTCCGTCATATAGCTGGAATATTGCTGAGTAAGGAGTTAAACAACAAATAAATCTGCACTGTTGGCATGGCCAGACTATACAAATTAAATATTGTTCCATTTTGTGCACTGCTTGTATCTGAATAAAACATTGAATGACCAAATTGATTATGTATTCAAGTCTGTCATGACATATCTGACTTACTGAGCAATACCACTCACACAATCATTAAATGAGATAATATACATTTGAAATCACAAATTCAGATAGATTAAATTGTAGTGAATAAATGTTCCTATGCTTATCGACTAAAAAATGTTTGAATAATGTGCCGTCTCACATCAGCTCCATCATTTGGACCTGTAACCGGTGGCACATAATTATTCACATTTGAAGATGGAGGCATTAGATTTTCATCATGATTTATAATATCCCCCCTTTCAATACCCAAATTATGCAACACAACACATGCAACAACATAGGTCACAGCCTGTCTTGGGGTCGCCCTGAGCTCATTGTGCAGGCACTGAAACCGCCGTTTCAGGACACCAAAGGTCTGTTCAATGAGCACTCTTGTCCTGCACAATGACCCATTGTAGCGTTCCTCTGCACGGTTGGTGGGGTTCAGTAGAGGCGTCAGGAGGAACCAACGACATGGGTAGCCAGAGTCCCCCAGCAAAAAACCTTTGTACTGTCCTTAAACATAATAAAATAAGGTTATATATTATTGAAAGAATAACAGATTGTTTTATGATTTGAATACTGGTAAAAAGTACATATAATGTATGAATAAAATTTGTCTCATTAAGAATTGAAATATTTCAATATTTATCTTGAACATGATGAATGAAATAAACCTTTTCCCAGGAACAAATACATTCATCCTAATTAATGGAATTGTTTAGTTAAAAAATAACTTGTGAGAAAAAAAAAATGAAAATGAGGATATGAATCCAATCTAATTTATTAATTAAAATGGGTATGGAGATTCTGAGATTTTATGCCATGTCTATCCAGGGTTCCAAAGCAATTGCCCTTTGTATGTCACTTCAATTCAATGAGATGTCATACAAAAATGTCTGCATATTGATTTAAATTTACATCTTAACTTATAATTACTATTACAGAAATGATTTTATATTATTTGTAACAGGATAAACTATATATGCTTGTTCACTTGCAGAATACTTTCACCAAATTGTTCTAAAAACGTGTCTTACCATTTTCAAATTGCCTGCACAGTGCTGACGTCCGGAAAATACGGCTGTCATGCACCGATCCCGGCCAGCTGGCGTTGCAACTTGTGATGCAGAAATTTGCATCACAGCACATCTGTGGGATAGCAAATCAGAAATTTAAACTCCAATTTACAATACATACATAAGAATTACAAAAGTCATACATCTCCCCACCCCTAAACCAACACATACATTATAACGAATAGTTATGGAGTACAATTATGCCCATTTACCTGTACATTCAGGGAATGGTAACCTTTCCGGTTCACGAAGTCTCCCTCGTTCGTGGTAGGCCGCTGTATCCGGATGAACGTCCCATCAATGCACCCTACTACGTTAGGGAATCCTGTAAGTAAAACGTGTCATGGTGTCACAATAGATAGCATACTGCGCTGGGCAATGTTTACTAGTTTCATTTACAGCCCATCCTAAGATCTATCGCTTGATTATAATTTTATTTTATTTATATACATGACCTCGACCTCTGACCCATTTTCTTTTTACTGACCAATCAAAATGGCACTGACGCAAATCACACCAATGAAATCATTTATTTGTGTTTACATTGGGAAAATCCCATGTACGTACCTGCAATGTTGCCGAATGCCTCCTTCGCTCGTACGGCGTCTCCTCCAACTGGGAATTTAATAAACCTTCCTGAAAGTTTGGAGATTTGCAACGAAACTGCACGTATGCATCTGCCGGCTGTAGATCGGGAAATGTTTAGGCTGTCCCCAACCAGCAGATGCATAGCGCCTGTCGCCAAAAAGCGAAGGCATACCAGCAACTGTAACAGTGGTGGAATCGCACAGTTACGAGCTGTCTCTCTGGTCAGATCGAGTAGACCAAGTAAATATATTATAGTATTTGGCCTAAATCTGTAACGGTCAAAAACTTCTTCGACATCTAAATCTTCCAGCGGGTTAGAACGATCTCGAAAGACTCTCGGAACACGGGTGTTCCGCCTCGCTTGTCGCGTCTGTCGCAGGTGAGCTGCCATTGTTGTTGTCGAACTCAGCGTTGAGCACGGTCCAAAGCGTACTTGAGATCGTACGGATTTCATGCTCAAGTTGAGCACGAAAACGTACTCAGATTATTTATAACCTCCGTTTATTGAGTCTGAGTTTTGAGTTGAGCACGAAACCGGATTTGAGCATGAAATCGTACTCAGGGAAGTTTTATAACCTCGGGGCCTGATCTTAATCCAATCACACACCAAATAGCACCGCTTATTATTGTTTTTAGCGTACGTCTAAGTTTGTATTTCTGCTAACCAAAATGTCATATATTGTTGGTATGAATGAGATGTTTATTAATGCGACCAAAGACCACTTGCATTTTACGCATTTAATTCATGCTCACATTAATTTCACGATTTACAGTATTGCAATTGAATGTATATATGTTTCCAAATCTGATACTGATACTGTTCATATGATTCAAAACTTTTGTGGTGAGGTAGAAATTGATTGAGAAGAATGTTATTCACTGTTGATATCATGATGATGATTCATTGCAGTTGATGTTGATAACACATGTGAATGACTTTTTACTTCCAACAATGTTAGGGAGTATTCATGTCTTCATAGTAAGTGGATTGCCTCCCTGGTCTAGTGGTAGAGCGTCTGCCCGGAGAGTGGAAGGTCCGGGGTTCGCGTCATACCAAAAGACGTTAAAAGATGGTACTTGTTGTTACCCTGTCTGGCACTCAGCATTAAGGGGCTAAAACAAAGACTGGTCGGCTCGGAGTCAGTATAATGTGTCTTAGTGAGGTATTCATGTTAAACTGCGGCATGGTATCTCAGTGAGCTAGCACTATATTGGCATCAGTTCGGACAAGTACAAGCAGCTACACACACACGTGCATGCATGTCGCTATGTAAGTGCAATAATCTTGGACGTGACGTTAAACCCCATTTCACCTCACCTCACAGTAAGTGTGTCAAGAACATTAGCTGGGGGTTGGTTGACCAACAGAATTGACTTTCTTAAGAAGGTCAAGCACCATATGGTAGTATTCTGTTGAGAAGCATTTTATCTGTTCATTGACTATTTGTGCCTGTGTAGCAGTTGAATTCACAGTGAATGGTAAACTAAGTAGCAACACCTAATAAAAGACGCATAAGCTGCTAGAATGAAATATTAAAGGTTTAAACTTGTCATGCATTTATCATAAAAACTAATTCTGAAGCAGATTCCATTTTGAAAGATGATCTGTCTGTGGAAGGGAGGGTTCCTGTCATGCTGTCGGAAATATGGTCAGGTAGTCGGGGTATTTGACTATCCGTGAGTATATATTGTTTTACGATGAGTGAGTGAGTGCAGAAGGGAAGGTTAATGTTCAGGTTCTAGAAATATGGTCAGGTTGTCATGGTGTTGGACTATCTGTGAGTATATATATGGTAAATACAGTGTCTGAGTGAGTGAGTGAGTGAGTGAGTGACTCAGTGTGTAAGCAGGTGCATCCAAGAGTCGGCAGAAGGTAGTGTTGCTGTTCGGCTGTTGTATATATCTTTTCAATGAGTGTTTGGATGAGTGAGTGAGTGAGTGAGTGAGTTAGTGAGTGAGTTAGTGAGTGCATCCAAGAGTCGGCAGAAGGTAGAGTTGCTGTTTGGCTGTTGTATATATCTTTTCAGTGAGTGTTTGGATCAGTGAGTGAGTGAGTGAGTGAGTGAGTGCATCCAAGAGTCGGCAGAAGGTAGAGTTGCTGTTCGGCTGTTGTATATATCTTTTCAGTGAGTGTTTGGATGAGTGAGTGAGTGAGTGAGTGAGTGCATCCAAGAGTCGGCAGAAGGTAGAGTTGCTGTTTGGCTGTTGTATATATCTTTTCAGTGAGTGTTTGGATCAGTGAGTGAGTGGGTGAGTGAGTGAGTGAGTGAGTGAGTTAGTGAGTGCATCCAAGAGTCGGCAGAAGGTAGAGTTGCTGTTTGGCTGTTGTATATATCTTTTCAGTGAGTGAGTGGGCAGGTACAACTAAGATACGGTTTACACATAAATCTGTCACATCTTCTTGCTGAATGCTAGAAGATCCTGTTGCTTTATGAGTTTATGTGTTATTTCACGGAGACTGAGACAAGAGGCACCAGGCAGTGCAAGTGTCCCTGCACTCTGTGAAGATCAAAGGCATATTCAGAGCCTTGATCAATAGCAATGAAATACATACCGGAACATTCATGTATTGGTGCATAACCTTCAAATCAATAATTTCATGGAAATGGCATTGAAGAAATACCTTTCGATAATTATTATCATTTGGTGAAATAAGTTCAAGGTTAGCTCTCTGAGAACCCTTCTTTCTATTAAGACATTGCCACCCTGGATTTTGCTTCTAGTAGATTCTCATAAGTACAACAAACTCATTGGGATTCATGATAAAGTCAACATCATTCAGGTTAATATCATTCAGGTTATCAGATCCTGTAAAAATGTTTTGCTGTAATACCATAGAAAGGATTGTTTTCAACTCCCCAAAGTTGTTTTAAGGCCTTTCAAAGGAAACTGTTTGTTTACAATTTAAGTGTTAATTTCAACACAATGTATGACCTAAAAAAGGCATAAATGTATTTTTTTTATCTAGCAAGTGTATAATCATAACAGGATCAGAAAACTTTTGATACAATTGCTTGTTTACCAGTTTGACTAGAAATAGATTATATTGAAGGCCTAATCAAACAGGAAACAGACTGGAGACGCTACTGCTCATCTGACAACTTATGTCAATAGACTAGGCTATTTCCCTGCAATTTAACTGTTAATGTGGATAATTTGTTATTTGGAGGTATGAAGATTTCTTTGAACATTTCACCCACTAATTCTGAGATTGTTATGTCACACTGTAGATTGGTAAAAAGTATTTCCTATCAAAATGTCTGAAGTATGTTTGTTATTAATCATGTTGGTTCCATCAAAGAGCAAATTTTGATTTTTCATAATCATATCCTTATTCACATGATTCAGATAGAATTCTTGGGTGTTATCATTTTAGAGTTTTAATGTTATTTACATTTACATTTGTTCCAATATTGGGTGAAGAAGGAAAAGAGTCATTTCTGTTTGATCAACATGACCTTGGGCTGAATCATAAATGTCTCTAAACAGTGCTTATAATCACATTTACCCTGATCTAAAACTCTTCAATAAGTGAGAAATGCTGACTCAACAAATGGTCCTTGCATAAGAAAGTCAATATGACCTTGTGTGCTAGACAGCTTGTATATTCATGCAAGAGGCGACTAACAGGATCGGGTGGTCAGGCTCGCTGACTTGGTTTAATGCATGTCATTGATCCCAATTACGTGGATAGATGCTCATGATGTCAATCACTGGATTGTCTGGTCCAGACTCGATTATTTACAGACTGCCGTCATATAGCTGGAATATTGCTGAGTGCGGCGTTAAACAACAAACAAACCAACAAACAATCAAGTACAATACATTGACATCTTGTTAGCACCAGTAAGTCTTTTGGTCTTCCAGTAATGCCATAACCATTTCCATTTATTGAGGCACATTTGATGCAGAAATTGGTAGTAGTATGCTTTTGATACAAGAAATTGGACAGGCTTTTGATAGGAAACATACATGGGATGTGAACTTGTTGCCAGAATTTGTCCAGTGCCATCAATAGTGGGGGATTATTTGATCAGGAAATTGCTTGCAGTTCCATTTTTCCCTCAGCAGCCACAATTACACCTGACAGTGCTTTGGGCTGGATTTAGCCCTGCTCCATTTAATGTCTTTGGATGAATTTGGCCACCATTGAAATGTATTGATTGTATTAGTGACACAGTCAACTTTGATATTTCAAGCCTGACAGCTGTACGAGTCATTGACAATAGTGCATGTCAGACACTGACGCAGGTACAGTGGCCAGCGGTTATTCTGGCATGGTCATAAAGGACATGATGCTGCTCCATGTTGGAGGTTATGTAACAGCAAGAAAATAATTGTGTTGACTGTTACGAAATCATATCAGTTTGATCTGATTATTCACATCCAGTTTGGTTCATGAATGATTTAAGCTGCACTTTTACATCAGTGCTGCGTATGTTATTTGTGATACATATCTCATATATGATATTTTACGTATCCAGCAATTCGGCACTTCTTAAACAGGGTTAGGAATGATTAATAATTTTCATTTGTCACATTTAGTGTTCTGCTGCAGAGTTGCCATCAACCTTAGGGTAAAAGTGTTGTCCACAAGGAAATGTCACTAGTCCTTCCTGAAGTTTAGTAGCCTAGGAATAGTGGACTAAAAATAATATGAGTTGAGTTTAGGTGGTGTGAAATGGAGTTTATCGTCACATTCAAGATTATTGCAATTTTATAGCGACATGCACAGTGACCTGCTTGCTTGTGCCAGTCTGGACTAATGCCAGTTTTATAGTGCTAGCCTACTGTGATGTCATGTCACAGTTTAACATGGATACTCCAGTCATACACAGTATACGGACACCGAGCAGGACAGTTCTTGTTTTATCTCCTTTAAGCCTAGTGTCTGGCATTTTTAATGTCTTTTGGTATGAGGTGGCTGGGGATTGAACCACCAACCTTCCATTCTCTGTGCTGCAAGAGGTTAGAGGACAGGTTGGCAGAATTTCTGAGATCTCACAGTTGCTGACACTGTACGTGTTGATGACAGTGGTTTGATGCTCAGCTACTTTACCTATGGGACCAGTGAAGATTCCGGGGTAGAGTAGGTCTTCAGCAACCCATGCTTTCCGTAAAAGGCGACTATGCTTGTCGTAAGAGGCGACTAATGGGATCGGGTGGTCAGGCTCGCTGATTTGGTTGATGCATGTCATCATATCCCAATTGCGTGGATCGATGCTTATGATGTCAATCACTGGATTGTTAACGATTATTAACAGACCGCCGTTATATAGGTGGAATGTTGTTGAGTGCGGGAACAAACAAACAAACTTTAACAATGGAAGGTTAGCTTTACGCCAGCACTGCCCCTACATTCAACAGAACTTGCTACAGTTAGAGGTATCCAAGAGCCATTCAGCTCTGTATGTGTTTCACTGTCGGGGGCCAAGGAATCAATGCATGTCATTTCCTTCCCTGTAAGAAACACTAGGCCCAATATTGGCTTTGCTATTGTTGTTTCAAGTAGGTCAGAAAAAGAATTAACTGTTGGAACTGTGGACTTCTTGCAGCAAAATCTTGAAAAT